TCGGAAGCAGCTAATAGATGGCGACAGTATCAGTAAAAAACCTTGTTATCATTTTGTGTAAGGGAGTGGGCAATCTATAGTTGTCTTCATCTATGATTGTGATCATGAGATTCCTGAGTACTCGTGCTGTGTGTTTTAACAGACAATTCAACGTTGCCAGCTTGTTGCAAATTTCTGTTAGTCGGGAAAGTTTTTCAAAGGATGGGGTAATTATTCTAGTGTGGATACTGCAAATAATGGTAATATGACGGGACATCAGTCAAGGTAAAAGTAAAAAATAAATTAACTTCATCCATACTATTCCTACAAAATTTGTAAGAAAAATCAATTGGAAACGAAATGTAGATTTGGCAAATTCGACAAATTTTCCGGTCTATTACATGACAACGGTTTAACCAGTAATTTTCTGTATTATTCTTAATTCAAATAGTGGGTTTAACAGACAGGAGGAGACCATGGTGTGCTTTGTTCTCTCATGGAAAAATCATGAATTTCAATGAATAAGAAGTAGCCAAAAATGTAATTTTCGCTAAAAACACCACTAAAAAAATTGTTAATGAAAATATTTTTCAAGGGGCAGAATAAAGAAAAAGTCGTTTAGGAGATTGAGGTGGATTTAGATCAGGCGATTCAGGAATTAATTGGATAAGTACTTATTATAAAGTAGAACCGATCGATATATGTATAGTCCGTACCACAAAACACCTGTGAACATGAAGTCTGTACGCTATTCGCCAGTTCAACTACCGATGGTGGCTCTGCGAAACGTTAAATTACTCGTTGTCGAGTGATAATTGAGACTTGTCAGGCTTCTTCATTTATTGGAGTTGATGACATTTATATCATAACACAATACTCACACACTTTTCGATCTGTTTCTATTTCTTTAAAAGCTTGCAGAAGTTGATTTGAACAAAACAAAACAGTGCACAATCAAATGTAAACAGCAATGTTAAGAAAACAAGTGTCAAATTAATACTTCACATGTATTTATAATTTTAGTCACCAGGGAGGCTAATCGACGCAATATCCTACCCATAGATTAACTAAGATCCTACCTTGTATTTATTTGCATCATAAAACAATCCACAGAACAGTCAGACGTAGAAGAGTGGTCGAGAACGTAGAAGAGTGGTCAAGAATGCCTTTAGCATTGTGACTAGGGATGACACAAACCAGTATTTTTCAGGCACAGGTTCCATATGTGACTGTTCCAGGCTCGTACCTGTTCCAAGTATCTGTGATTTTTAGGCACATGTTATTTTGGCCCATGATAAATATTGATTTGTACCTGTAACCGGGCTGAAGCGTATTTTGAGTCCAGTCAGTTTCCACTTTAAAAGGCCTGTTTCGAGCACTAAAAATATGATGGTAAAAGTTTATTGGAAGTTGTTCGGAAGGATGTCAGAATATTGAGACAATGAATGGTTTGTGCTCGATTTTTGGCTGTGGAACATTGTTTATAAACAATTATTTATAAATAATTAAAGAAAGTGCAAAAGCCCGTTTTTTGTGCTTAATTGTCGAACCGTTGATGCTATTGCAAAAAAGTTTTATCCTTTTATCAAGTATTAAAAATACCTATGATATCAGATAAACTACATTAAAATCCGTTCATTAGTTTACTCAAAAATCCAAAAAAAAACGTCGATTTCAGCGTTTTGTTAATTTTCAATAATTAATTTAGTTTTGTTTCACGAAAATGGTACCATAACTTTCTTTGGTCAGTCAGTAATGAAATTTTCGTTTACTGTACGTTGTAGTATAACTCTTTATGAGTAAAATACAGCATCAGAGAAGTCTGTCCGACGTCTCAAGAAAAATTTATTTAGAATCTGGTAAGAGCCCCTTTTATATAACAAATGGGAATGAACAAAAATATATGAATATTTGGAACTAAAATTTATACCATTTATAAAGTATTAAAAAATTAAAAACAAAGTCCTTCAAAAACAGATAGAAATTTTTTGAACCAAAACCAAATTAATTATAAAAACTTTTACTTTCATCTATTTAGTGTCCGGTAAAAATCTAATCTAATCCGACTGCACTAATTGTTCCATTGAAGAATATCCACGCCACTTCCTAGTAATTTGAGTGCGAATTTGCTGGGTCCGCAATAAATTATGACCGAAGACCAAATGCCTTTTGTTCCTTTATGTATGCAAGGACTCATGGTCAAAAAAAAGTCATAACATTTTTTATGAGTAACGTTTTACCATTTTATCAAACCTTTATTTGAACTCAAAAAAAGGTGACCACATTTTTTATATTTCCCACTTAAGGGCAGTAAAATGTGAAAAATCTTGTTTTGTATGTTTGATATAAACAAATATTGAAACATGTCCAGACTAATAGTGCCTATACAAATTTAAATTTAGTTCGTCCACTACTCCACTGGGCAGATGCAACAAATGCTATTTTATTTCAGAAGCACTGCTATTGGTCGAAAAAGAACAAGTTTCACTGACAAGGAACAGCTCAGAATTCCGAAAAAAGTCAGTCAGTCACAGCCTGTGACTCACAGGTCTGTCACATTAAAGAAAATATCTGAGACGGCTGTTACTGCTGTTCCCGATATTTTCTGTTCATTGAATATTGCTATTTGCCGAATCATGGCTGCGTGGATTCGAAAATCATCGGGTCCCACGTCCCACTCCCATACATACAAAACCTTACCACTTCACGACAATAAAATATCTCCTTTCACTAAAACTCAGGCCAGTTGACAACGCCGCGGGGAGTCAAAAGGCACAAAGGCAGGTATTTGCCTTTTTGCTTTGTTGAAATATTGAAATACTATGTTGTACTGGTTCTGACCAGCATCGTAGGCGAGCCCTGTTATTTCAAATCACATGTTATTTTAAATATCGGTCACAGGTACCGACTGTTTCATATCGATATCTGTTCCAAGATACCTGTGACAAGTATTTCGTGTCATCCCTAATTTTGACCCAAAAATGGCGAATATTTTTAAGGCTAATTCAAACCAAAGTTGAAACGACAATTTTGATTGTGAAGACAGCGTGCATTTTGCATAATTTTTTACGAACTCGAGGAAATGACCAAGAAGATTTCGATTTACCACCAACAGAGTTTGAGGAAAACATAGGAAGAGCATTTAATATCCAAAGTGACCCAAGACGTGCAACAAATATTGCATTCGCTCCTCGAGAAAAATTTGTTAATTACTTCAATTCAAATAATCAATGATATACCACAGTATTATACCTATCATCGCATTTACATATTTGGATACAAAAAGAAGAAGTAAGAATTAATGCGAAATATACAATAGAAAACAATACAAATTTTTTTATGTTTCAAATTAAATACCTACCTGTAATATGGATCTCCTGCCCAATTTCATCTCATAACTTATCTTTCTTTCTTATATTTTTGTAATCTTCATGACTTAAATCGTATAAAATCGGATATTTCTTTACAAACTCTCTCAACATTTCAGTTGAAGCCAGTCTTTCTTTGTCTCTGGTTGAAGCCATCTTTGATTCGCAACGAAAACGACAGAAAACGCGGCTGGTGGAGAAAGAAATAAAATTCGCTGGTTTCGTTGTCGCCAAGCGAAATTTTGCGCCAACTTGTTGCTCCTCGTTATACACCATAGACCTTGAGTCCACAGATCACAGAGGTTATAGATTGGAAACTGACATATACGCCTGCAGAATGCTATTTGTCGCTTAAATCACCGGCTGCAATCAAAACTAAATTCTAATTTCCACTACTGGCAGAAGAAATCTTCTTTATCGATTGGGTTCACATCAAAATTTAGCGGGATATTTGATTTCAGTTTATGACCTCTGTGATTTCCGTTGAAGTTTCAATAACATTTCAAGCATTTCATCACGCTCCTTAATTGTGATGTTAATGCTAGGGCTTCAATTAACATCACAATTAAAGGGCAATATGAGATACTCGAAATATTATTGAAACTTCAACGGAAATCACAGAGTTCGTAAAGTGAATTCAAATCGCCTGCTAAAATTGTGTTCGTGTGAAAACTAGGGCAAATCGGGAAAATAAAGCACATGAATTTATCTTTACAATAGGTATTTATTAAACTAAAAAACCTAGAGATGTAATTTATATTGAGATTACATGAGTTAGATCGTGTAGTGCTTCAACAAAACTTGAAATAAGTTTTATTCACATTAAATAATAAATATGTTGAGCAAATATGCAGAAGTGTTGATATAAGTATCCAATTATTACCTGCTATTTACGTTCAGTTGGTACCTGATGGTTGTTTTTGTCTTCGTTTTTTGGTTATCGATGAA